TCCCCCCCCCCCCCCAAAAAAGATTTTCTAGCTTCTCCTATAAATAGTGGGTTACCTCACAAGGAAAGGGGGCCTCCCTCCGCTCATCACTCCCCTGTACATTCTTTGTATTATCTTCTTTCTCAAGAAGCTTGCAAGCATCCATTAATGGCTTCTAGGCCCAAGCTTTGTACCTTGTACGAAAATTCCTCCATTGGCAACGTACTGCCAAAAAAGGCCATGGTTTTTTTCTCGATTGGGTTTCTACGTTAAAACCCACGTGTTTGTGTTTTGGTGTATTTTGTTAGACTAGTTTTTGTTCTTGCTCATCTAAGAACGATATACCAGTCGAGATTATTTATACCATCAGAGATGAAGGGAGTAATAACAAGAAATGTAAATCGTTATGGTCCAAGTCTGATGGTGTGGAGCGGGTTTTGATCTTCTCTAAATTTTTATGGTCTGATCTTATTTCAATAAAAATTAAAATTATTTTTGACTGATTTGGTCAGCCTTTCCAATCCAACCAGATTTTTTTAGATCTAATCTGATTGAATCTGATAAGAACAAGTAGTCTTAAATCGTAAGAATAATTTAAATAAAATAAGGCATGACTTGGGATTCTAATCAAGTCCCCCCATATTCGGTGAGTTCTTAAAATTTGGAACCGGCTCAACTTAGAGGAACCGTTCCATCACCTTTTTTAAAAGTTTTTTTTACTCGGTGAATATTTTCAATTTTTATTACTCCGTAGTTGTTTTTAGAGAACATATATCATACATCCAAATGTACGTTGTTTCCCATACATACACATGAATACTTATTTTTGAATGATTAAATATTTATTTTTGAACATAACTGAATTTCAAAAAATTTAAAGCATGTTTAGTTATTCAAAAATGAATATTCAGTTACTCGTAAATATGTAGTCGCCACAAAATTTATGATAAAATTTATTGCTTTTATCAGTTTATGTCGTTTGAGAGGAAAAATAACTTGAAGATAAAATAATAATAATAATAATAATAATAATAATAATAATAATAATCTATACTATACTTAAAGCGAGGGGAATTTTTTCCCGCCCATACGGGATGCTAATATATGGAAACTGTTTAGTACATTAATTATCTTGCCTCAATACATGTGAAGCATATACGGATACTATTGAATGCTATGTTTCGTGTGACTCCTTACATGGTAAGTATTACTTGCCATTTTTGGTTTAATTTCTATTAATTACTAATTAATATGTTTCCATTTTAATTTAATCGATGGTAAGTGTTGTAGTTTCATTCTTGGTTTCTATAAAAAAATAACAATAATAATAATTGCTAACCTAAGCAAACAATTTTATAATAATAAAAATATTATTATTATTATTATTATATAATAAATTTTCAAAATATTGTAAACTAAAAGGAATTAATTAGTTATACCTACAAAGTAATATGTCCTCTAATTTTGTAAACTAAATTTCCGTGAACCTAACTGCACAGTTAAATGCGATGATATTTATTTAAAAAACAATTGTTTCCTTTTCAGTTTTTTTGTATAAATAGTAACAAATGTCGTGTTGAAAATAACATATCCCCTTATCAACATTATATTATATTATTTACGCTCTTTAATACAAATATTAGTAAATAATCATGGGTGTGTGGTTGACATTCGACAAAACTAATGCCACAAAATTATAGGTAATAGAATATTTTAAATTAAACTTATTTGATCGAATTTATTTTAAACTAAACTTATTTGATTATAAGGGTAAAAATAAAAAAAATATGATGCTACTAAATTATAGGTAATATAATTATATTTTTTATCAAATACGGAGTAACTAATTAAAGTAATCAAAAAAATAAATTAAGTTTGACCGCGCAAATAGCACCAAGAAAAATAGTTTTAGAATGGCACATCTATCTACGATCTACTCCATCCGTCCTAAAACTTTCTTCTCAGTTTGACTTTTTTCCATTTTTAATTTTTGGCTTTGACTTCAAATTTTACCCTCCTTAAAAAAGATTTTTTGCAAATTGTTTTTGCAATCATTCAAAATATAGAGTAAGAAGATAATTGATGTAAATACATGAGAGTATTAATGTCATTTGTCATCTTTTTTTAATGGGAAGGTAGTTTTAGGACGGAGAGAAATGGGAAGTGGAAAGAAAGTTTTAGGACGAAGAGAGTATGATATATTTAAAAAGAAGGGAATTCCCCTTTGCTTTTTTTCACCTAAATGGTCTTCAATCACAAAAGGGAAGCGCTTTACATAAATAGGAAAGTGTTACATGCAACAATGGCATGTATAAAGTAATAAATATTTATGAATTATAATATATCATGTATAATAAATTCAAATGCCGAGTAAAAGGTAATTATGGTAATTAAATTACCCATGTAATATATTTTCATTAATAGGGTAATTCCATACCTTAAAATTTTTAATGTCGTGTTATAAAAAATATATTAATTATGGTACCGTGTTATAAAAAGTATAATTCACACGGAGGATAAAAAGTATAACTTTTAAATACCTTTTTACAAAAAGTATAAATATTACGGAATACTTTTTATACTTTTTATGATACCGTGTAAATAAAAGTATTCTACACCAAATATTATTTGGTCCAACATTATATATTATAAATGAAATTTAAAGGTTTGGAAATGGAAATGATAGTGTGAAAAAATATCGATAAAAAAATATCGGTGTTTTTGTTTTTAATTTGTACGTATTTTAAATAAGGCAATTTCATTATAAACAACGTAATAATAATAATAATAATAATAATAATAATGATAATAATAATAATAATAAAGGTAGGTTCCTTTTACGTGATTACCATGTATAAAATATTATCGTCTTTGGAAAAAAATATGAAAGCATTGCCTTGAAAAAAAATATTATCATACCTTAAAGTATCGAAATTAAAATTACCGTTGTGTTTGCATTTATACTTTTTCGTTATTTTAAATAAAGTGATTTCTTTATGCACGACTTTGGTAAGAATGAATCATAAATACACATTGATAATTAAAAATTTAAGGTAACTTCAACAAATAATTTTTTCCTTATCTCCGATGGAGCCAAAATTTCACCATTTTTGGCTTTGGGGTGTGATGGAATAAATCAAAATGGATCTCTAAACTATCTGCGCTTCTTTAATTAATGAAGTAGCAGTTAGTCAAACAATGCAACTTTCGACGTTGAGCCGGGGGTCTCTTTGGAAACAGCCTCTCTACTTTCGAGTAGGGGCAAGGTCTGCGTACACACACCCTCCCCAGACCCTACTCTTGTGGGATTTAACTGGGTTGTTGTTGTTGTTGTTCAACAAATAANAATTTTTTCCTTATCTCCGATGGAGCCAAAATTTCACCATTTTTGGCTTTGGGGTGTGATGGAATAAATCAAAATGGATCTCTAAACTATCTGCGCTTCTTTAATTAATGAAGTAGCAGTTAGTCAAACAATGCAACTTTCGACGTTGAGCCGGGGGTCTCTTTGGAAACAGCCTCTCTACTTTCGAGTAGGGGCAAGGTCTGCGTACACACACCCTCCCCAGACCCTACTCTTGTGGGATTTAACTGGGTTGTTGTTGTTGTTGTTCAACAAATAATTATCTTTCCTTTTTTTTACTTTATACGTATTTTAAATAAGGTAACTTCATTATAATCAATGTAATAATATTATTAAAAAAGGTATGTTTCTTTTTTGCGAGTACCATGTATAAAAAATTACTATCTTTAAAAAAAACGTTGCCTTGAATAAAAAAATATTCTCACATCTTAAAGTATCCAAATTAAAATTACAGTTGTATTTCCGTTTATACTTTTTAGGTATTTTAAATATAGTTTTTTCTTATATATGGTTTGGTAAGAAAGAATTATTAATACACGTTCATAATTAAAAATTTAAGTTAAAAAAGGAATTTTGAAATGGTAAGTAACACCAACCGTGTAATTTGGCCAAAAATATTACATTGTAATTTTAAAAATAAAAATTTTGAAAAAGGAAAATAGAATAAGCCAAAAACGTTTCATAGTATAAATGCGATCATTTGCAAGGATTTTCGTAATTAAATATGGCCGTTGAAGAAAAAATTTAATTTTGTAACGTAAATATGACCCGTGCAACGCGCGGGTGTGATACTAGTGGAGGTTAATTCCATAATTTTTCTTGTGATAATTTGTAAGATGGCAAGATAATACACACAATATTCCCTTTTAATCTATTATGTAAAAAAATAAAGTCAATCTTTTTAAGCTAATGATAAGAAGAAAGTCTTAAAACACTTCTCCTAAGCCAAAGCTCATACATAACCATATGAAACGCATCGAAATCCACCGGAAATTTGTGCCACTGGAAATGCCTCTGCACCTTCATCACATTCCTCTGCAGCCTCACATACTCCCCGTGGCTTATCCCTTTCAGTATCTCCTTCAGCCGCCGCATCTCCGCCGTCGCAACCACCACCGAGAAGCTCTCCCAGTTCAAGGTGTCGGCGAATGGGAGGTCGTAGAAGTCGGCCAGTATCACCGGCACACAGCCGTAGTAGATGGCGTCGCCGATCCGGGCAGTGTTCACTTCGTACCCCTTCGCGTGGATGCAGAATTTGCTCCCCAGTAGCGCCTCCGCGTACGGCGTTTTCAGGCGGCTGCGGTGGACCGAGATCTCCTCGTCGTTTTCCCAGATCCCGACCAGATCTCTCCGGATCCGGGAGTTTAACGCGCCGGCGTAGAAGGCTAGGGTTGTCCGGTTCTCCGGCGAACGGCGCGGCGGTTCCCCGTGGCGCGGCCAGATCTGCGGCACGGAGGTGTCCTTGTGGGCGATGTACCCCGGCAGGAAATAGCTGGAGGAGCAAACCACCTGTACGGCGTTCAACTTCACGTCCACCGCCGTCTCCGTCGCCGACCTCCCGACGGAGTGGCAGCAGACGTAGAAATGATCGGCCCCGCCGGATCGGTTCCAGAAAGGGTACTCGCGGCTGATGCGGGACACGTAGCCTTTGACGAAACCCTTGATCCCGCCGACGCCGACCCGCCCGTCGTTTCGCAGGGCGGCGACGGAGAAGGGTAGAAAGAAGAGATGCGCCTGGTTCGGGTCTTTGGTGATGAAGTGGCTCTTGAAGATGGACTTCTTGAAGTAACTCTCGCTGGCGTAGTTGCCGCCGGGATCTCCGGCCGCCGGCAACAGCGCACTTGCGAAAGGGTCGTCTCTCTTGTGGGGATAAACGAATATCTTTAACGTACTGTTCATTTCGGCGTAGTCTTCGAGAAAGAGGTCCTTCTCGTGAAACACCTCCGCCGCCGCCGTTCTCCGCCCACTTCTTTTTGATACATCATCTACCCAAAAAAAAATTGCGTTTTATTTTTTTTTCAAAAATGCGTTTATATCACAAAGGACAAATTATGACATAATTTTTAAATATTGAACCTCATAAACATAATGTATTAGAATTAAAAATTGAATACCTCTCCGACACAAAAATCTTTTTCCTCGCCTTTTTTACTTGTTCCACAAATTTTTTTTTTTAATTCTATTAAAAAATTACTTTTACACTTATTAATTCTTACTGTATCTATCATATCATATTTTTTAACCTCTATTCATCATGTGAAATTTGCCTTAAATAGGATTGAAGAAAAAGTCATTTTCTAACATAGGACTTAAACTTTTTTATTCTCTAAATAGGATTTATTAACGGCTAGTGAGAGGAATAATGTCCAATAACAATGGACATTTACTTGAATAATGAGTAATGACCAAAGGTTTACATTGAAAAATAAAAATATATGGTCCTATATTAAGAAAATCATTATGTTTTAGTCCTATTTAAGAATATTTCTCATTCATCATATTAAGAATATTTTTAGAAAATTAAAACAAAAATATATATATCTCTTAAACTTTTAAATGTCAAAATGATACTTATGTCCTAAAATTAACTTCTCATTTTGATTTTTGCAGTCAAACTTTTTAAACTTTGACTATATATTACGGAAAAGATATATTGAATTTTCATATAAATTTATTATCAATAGGTTCATTTTAAAACATAGCTTTGAAATATATTATTTTTATAATATAAATTCATATATAAATGGAGATATTGATGGTCAAAATGTCTCATTAGAGACCGTGAAAAGTCAAACGAGAAGTTAAATTTTAGAACGGAGGGAGTAATATGTTTTTGGGAAGAAAAAAGTATGAAAATCGATAGTGATATAGGACTATTGATTAAATAGACATTTGTTTGTTGATTCAAAAGCATAATTATTTTTTAATGCATATGGAGTATTATTTTTATATATAACGATTTAAAAATAATTTTAATCAAATATTTTATCGTACCACAAAAAGAATATCTAAAAAATTTTACAATTCAAGTTGTGACAAAAAAAATTTAAATTAATAAAATGAGCAAAAAAACATGCAAGTAAAAAGAATTGTTGAAAAATTTAAATAATAAAAAAATTCGTTTTACGAGAAAGGTTTATTATTTGCATATTTGCAACTTCATCCCTTCAAAGAGTCAAATATGACAATTTAAGATTTTAAATACCTGGAGTATTAGTTTGATTTGATTAACAATATTATTTTATACTCCATATTATGTACTATTTCCTTCCTTAGTCTCGAAATGTTCTTTTCACTTTTTTTAATTTGTCTGAAAATATGTTTTCCATTCTCTTGTTTAGTATTATATCTTTTAAGAGGACAAATTTTAATAACATTCTTCTATTTTATCATTAATCTACTTTTTATTTTTTTAATATGAAAAGTAGATTTAAAAGTTAATAGTATATGTAATTTTGGAAATTTGGGACTTTTTTTCCTCGATAAAGTGAATAATAGATTATTAATACAAGAATGTTCTACAAGGTTTTCAAAAAAAAGAAAAGAATGTTCTACAAGTACCCTACACTTTGTTCATTTTGTTCATTTGCAAACAAAGAATAATATAAACACTACAAGTCTACGGCAATCTTTCTTTGACTGTGGAAGAATTAATTAATTACAGTAATTAATATTAATGTTTCCACTAAAAATGTACGGAGAGAAAATTTTATATTTCCAGCATCCATATTTTACCTCAGTATTATTTAAAAATGTAACTTTGACCCCACGGCAAATTTATCTCCAGCCTTAGCTTGTCCACTTCAATTTTGTCTCAATTTAAATTTTAAAACATAAAACTCAATTTTTTTTATTACGCGTATGAAAAATATTCCACAATTTAAGTACTTTAAAAAAAATAAAAAATTGTGATATTGGTAACATTAATTTTATACTCCCTCCGTCTCATTTTATAACGCCTGTTTCGGTTTACGATGTTTGACTGAAATTATTTTCAAATAATTTTATTTGACAAATGGTATAGGGTTAAAAAATAAAAATTACATATCAAAATACTACATCAAAAGATCTACAAAACTAGTAGTGATAACAATATTTTATTTTATCAAATTGCTAACAAAAATAGAGAAAGAAAGTGAATGAAGTTTGACCCTGTGAATAGTGAACAAGCATTATAATTTGGGACGGAGGGAGTACTTTTTTCTTTCTTAAAAAAATTGATAGTTTGACTTCAAAATATATTTAAAAAGTTACAAAATTGTGTAATAAAAGTTTATTTACAAAAAGAATAATAAAATAAAAATTGATAATGTGAAGTGCACTTTTCTTTTTCTTAAAAGGAAATAAGAAAAATATGAATTTACTTTCAGGTAAAGAATATTTTTTTCTTTAAATAAATTAAAAATGAGACATCACGAGAAACTAAGAAAGAATGGAAAATTATTTCAAAAAAAAAAAAGAAGAAAGAATTGAAAATTAGGCCCTCCACAAGAATCTCTAAAAATGGCATATGAATTGACAATAAAAGTGTTAAAAGAGACTTTAATACTGGATATGTATTTGTAAAAATGTTGCGAAAAAGAGCTCAAAATACTCTTTGCCATTTCTAAAACAAATTTTAATCACATAATTTAAATTTTCAAAGAATTTTTTAAACACCATGGAATTAAATTTTGAATTTAATTCAAAACCAAAAAATTATATTTTTTTTAAAGAAAATAAGCACTAATTTTCATCATGAATAAAACAATAAACCCCGACAAAATTATAGACCAATATATAGCTAAAACATACCGTAAGAGGAAAATATAACAAAAAAATTAAAAAAAACTCACCTTCATCTGACCTCCGGCCGGCATTGACCGGCGGCGGACTCGCCGGCAGCGCGGGAACCCCGGGGAAATGATCGGAAAACGCGGCCGCCGGCGAAGAGGACGACACGTTACCGGGCTGCAGGGGTGGTCTTCTCACTCGTCTGACATTATTATAATGAACAAGGCTAAGGCGCGTTTGGGCGGGGTGAATATTATTGAGAGAGTGGGAGGAGGAAGAAATATGGAAGGCGACGAAAATTGAGGTCGCAAAAGACGCCATTAATAACAGAAAAGCTTTTCCTCTTCGCCCTGCACCAGAAACTCTTCTATGTGATGAAGAAGAAGAAGATGATGAATGGTCAAGATGATGATCAGCCATTTCTGGGGATTATTGAAGAAAGGAATAATAGTGTAATAATAGTAATATAATGGGTGTTGAGAGTTCTTTGGTTTGCTATGTTTTCTTTTGGTGGTAATTTATACTGTAGCCAATCGGCGAAATGGAGAGGGGGGCAGGGGTGCTGTGAAGGGGTGGGCAACTAGGGGACAAGGGTGTTTAGGGGAAATATAAAACATTAATTTTACGAACAGAACATTGTAAGTATCCGGGTCATAATATAATCTGGGGCTCTAAAGTCAAAAAATCTGTTGTATATATATGCATGTGTTTGCAAAAGATGACTCAGCCCATCAATTCTATTGATAGATACGAGTATACTTGACACATTTTGTGTATTGTGTGGTCTTAAAGTCCACATTTAACATAAATTTTCTCAAATTTTTTATGAGCTAAGAAATTGATTTTTTTATTTTTTTTGGATAATTTTTCATTGATTTCTTGATGTTTATATACAAAGATCCATAAAACAGAATGAGCGTAGGCTCAATCAACTGCACAAGGACCTCACATAAATTTGTTTCGTCCCAAAAAATTCTTTATAGATTAATCTTTTGGTCAAATTGTTACACACTTTGATTATTAACAAATTTATAAATATAAAACTTTGATATATCAAATTACATCTCAAATTAAAACCCAATTTTGTTAAATTTATATTATAACTAAATGTATTCTTATCAAAATTAATGATCAAAGTATATAATAATTTAACAAAAAAGTCGAATTGTACGGTATATGATGTTTTTGGAACCGAGGGAATATATACAATACTCTTACTTCATCGTAAATTATAATATTCCTTCCCTCCAACATAAAAAATCACTTTAATTGATTTAATTAAGATTTATAATGGTTTACTAAATTTCACACAGTAGCTTTAAAATCGAATCAATGACTGAACCGGTCAATTGTAGTCTTTAGAAAGTTGTACGTGATTAGTTAGGCCATCTTTAGTGGATCAACCATATTGTTAAAATGGATGAGTTCAGTGACCACTAAATTTCAAAGGCCACGAAAGTCACTGGCTCCTATGATGTTCCGTTCGTAAAATTGATGCTTCTTATCTCTCCTAATCTCCCGATAAACCCCCTTCAAGTTCCGACCCCAACTCATCTCCTACCTTCGTCAATTGCACCCCACAAGTATAGTTGACTTTAAAGTCTAAAATTCTGATTTCAAAGTCAACTAAAATTGCGGGATATAATTAACATTGTTGAGAGATGAGTTGAGGTCGGGATAGGTAGGGGGTTTATCAGAGGGTTAAGAGTATGAATCATCAATTTTACGAACGAACATCAAAGATGTATGAATCAGGACAGTGGCTTCCGTGGGCACAGAAACTCAGCGATCATGGAACTGGGCCGTTGTTAAAAAATAGATTTTATAGCTTCTATTGTAGTGTTTTTGGTACTCCAACGGAGCTTTTAAAATTTAGAGCATCATCTATATAAGCGTTTACACCCTCCATTTATAGTAGTTACTGTAGAGAGGCTAACAAATAAATTGGAATAAAATAATAAAAAGGGGAGTTGTTTATTGCTCGATCTGTAAAAAATTTTGTTCTCAGAGATATTGCGGAAGATAAATTACTCCGTATATTCCAACGAAGGAGAAAGTTAGATTTATGTTAAATATTCATTATTCACATATAGTCAAATTTATGCACTTTCATTGTTTACTTTCTTTACTCGTTTGATAATATTATATAGTTGTGTCGCCTTTTTTTTGTTTTTTTTTTGAATTTGCGACATATTCCGTAACTTTTAAATGTATACGGAGTGCATTTTCTTAGTTCCACACCAAATTTTAACTAAATTAAATTAAAAATACTTAAACATTTTAAAACACGTTACATAGTATCCACATAGTCTAATTTGTGAGAGAAGGAATAATGTTAGTATATAACACACAGGAGGTTTGTTGGCAGTCATTTTCAATTATTCTAAGATTGTTACACCTTTTTTTTATTTTTTAAACGGAGAAATCTCAAAGTAGAAAAGAAATCAGTTAGCTGTAATATGTCCTATTCCCCTTTTGTACCTGAGTATTGCTTTCTCTTTGATAGTGCCCACACACTACCAAAACAAACTTAATATTCTTATGGGAGAGTGGGAGACTACACAAATCAAACATTAAAATATACCAAAATAAAAATTTTATGTTGAATTTACACATGAGCGTATACATTGTGAAAAAATATTACAAAAAATCCATGTGCAGTGTCACATTACCACCGTACAAACTCTTATTTTGAAGATAAAAACATAAAACTTTTATTTTAATACTTTCTCTATGTTTTACTTTTATTTAGGATAATTTCTTTATTCTTATATGTCTCAATTTATAATTTTTGGCAATTTGATCCCTCTATTAAGGTTAATTGCTTTTTTTTAATTTGAAAATACATCAATTGATTTAATTATCGGATTGGATTGATTATTTGTAGTTTTTTAAACTGTTTTTTTATCAAGAGTGTATTTACAAGACCGAAATTGTTATTGAACTTTAATCAAAACAAGAGCCGTGGATTACATATATGAATTGCCCTATTAAAGAAAATTGTCTACCCAAGCTTGTATATTGTTGTGAGTTGTGACAGCTCATTCACATATAAAAAAAAGTTTTTTTTCTTTCAACAAAAAAGCACCTCCAAAAGCTTATTGCAATTTCCCAAACACCCATTGTAACATGAATAAATAAAATGATAATTCATTTGAACTCAAGACCTATTCTTTATGTCTTAATTTTAACTGAAATATGGAATCTAGGGAAAAAAGAAGAATAATGGACAAAATTTGATATATAAATTTAAGGTACTAGAACAACTTTCCAGTATAGTGGCCGCATATAGTTCCTATATTTAATTTCTTCCTCCAAATTCCCAAACTAAAGTTTTTTTTCCAAATAATGTATTTGCATGCTTTGCAGGTTATTTTACACTTAGAAGTTAAAAGCCACAAATTGCACTTACTAGTATCATGAATAGGAACACTTGTCAACTTCCTGCGCCTTTGCACGCCCCGGCGACCTTCATTCAAATCGGACATGGTTTGAGCCATTGGAATGAGGTCTCAGCAAAGAGAAATGCTGCCATTTATGTATACACACTGGCCAAAATGCTTAGAACAAGAACAAAAAAAGAGATCAAATTGAAAAAGAATACGAATGTTATTAATAGAGTAATTAGTGTTCAAGAAAAAAGGAATACGAATGTAAAGTTACCAATCATGGCTGGCGAAAATGGATATTTACAACTGCTGGCTGAAAATACAATGTGTGTTGAATCGAAACCGCGAGGGGGAAAATTGGATGGAAGAGAAACGAAGATATCTTCTTTGACCTTCCATCGGCATTCCCAGATTCAGGTCCTAATAATGAGCACATCTCAGTGTTCATGTTCAACTAAACAACACTCGCCCCAAAAGATCCTCAAAACACCCTCCTCGGCCCAAGACGGGATGGACAACTAAATGAGTGGACAGATGGGCCCAAAATGGTTCCAAAAAATCAACAAATGGGTGGGCACCCCCAAAGGCAACTATCCGATCAGACTCCGAGACCATGTTGGATNCCCCCCCCCCAAAGTTAAATAAATTAAGTTCTCATACTATGATAGAATTCATTATTATGTTGCGTGAGTAACCGGTGGAATGATGAAATGAATTTAACCACACTAGATGAGCTAGTCTAGACTTGGACTCTTATGTCTCTACTATTTATTTTTTCAATGTGAAACTCCTAACATTACAATAAAATAAACATTCATTAGGAGAATATAGTGAGATGTGAAGCATATTGGGCGAGCAAGGCAAGAAATCTTGCAAATGATATAGTCTGTACCTGTTTTAATTTTGAATTTGAGAATATTCGCTTGCCTTCTTGAAATGAATTTGATGGGATGGTCAATGGATTGTCTATGTCGATCAGACGCTGAGATAAGCTGCATCAGGAAGCGGGAGATCAATAATGTGGTTAAGCCTAAGAGCATGAGGAGCATAAAAATGGGAATAAACTCAATCAGTATCAAAGATTTTTTAGGATTTAGTGATGGGAAATGATTGGAATTTAAATTTTTTCAGACAGGGTCATATATATATATATATATATATATATATATATATATATATATATATATGGATATTCATTTTCATGAAATGCTATTCCTAAGAGCTATCCCAACGGTGAGGAAGTTTGATACAACAACATTATCCCAGTGCCTCAAAGGCTCCCCCCCCCCCCAATTGCGGGGTAAGGGGTGTCTGATGCACGCAGTCTAACCCCTATATGTTTAAAACATAGAGTGACTATTTTTGGATGATCCATGATGAGCGTCAAGAGTTGCATTGAATAATTGCTACTTCACTATTGAAAAGGAAGCACACACAGTTTAAAGAGCAATTTTGATTTATTCCATCATACCCAAAGCCAAAACATAGTGAATCTTTGGCTCCTAAGAGCTATCCCAATGATGGGGAAGTTTAATGTGAGCTTTTAAGCATCCCATTGGTGAGTTTCACACTTTGACATGTGTGTTTTTTTATCACTCCTTGAGTGAAAATAAAAGTTTCCACGATAGATATGGCCCCGTTGAATGACAGAAGTGAAGGAAAAAAAATTTCCTCTTTGATGGGATGCAAGGAAAAAATATTTACACACAAAAAATGTTAATGTAGATGAGAGGGAAAATGAAAAGAGAGATTGGTGAGGAAACTTTTTTCCCTCACCATTGCTAGTGCACTAAAATAATGAAAAGTTTCATAACATTTTTTTGTGTTTGGTAAATTTCTAGAATTGGCCAAGCCATATCTCAAGTGTCTATAATTGTCCAAAAGTTGACACTATATGCTTATGAATTAAGTAGTACCAAAAAGCACATCTTCACATGGAAGTGAAAAAGTGAGTTCTCAAATCTCGGGCGTCTCGGCACAGTAAAAGAGTTTTCTAACTTACTACAAAAAGAATTCAAGGAAAACATTTTCTCATCTGCCTGCTAAAGACATAAAAATCAGTTTTCCTGGAAAATCATTTCCCGTGTACCAAACACGGCCTTTGCATTCCCCATAATCTGAATTTTTTTAAAGTAGATGCATCATTGACAATCATTCCTGTAATGGATCCATCAATTTCATTTAATATCGAAGAGGATTTTATTCGCCTTGCTGTCAGAAAAACATTAAACATTCACAAGCATATTTAGCAAAGCAAAAAGAGAGGAACAAAAACCACATACAGTCAAACCTTTTCATCATATCTGAAGAGAGATTGATCAAAGTATGGTGAAGGACTCTGAGATTGACAACTACAAGGCAATGTTGACAGAACCTTCTTGACAAACTGTGATTTCAACCCATTATATCAATATGAATATATGCCAGGTGGAGAATAATAAATGACAACCATTTTAGATGAATTGTCAATGTGAAAGATATTGACCTGAGAAAAGCTACTGGCTTTGCTTTTGCTGCACTGTAGTTGCTCGAGGGCATGCACATTGTTTGAATGGCTAGATATGAAGTTGGTATGCAATGAACTTCTGGACGATGCATGAAAGTGGTCGCAGAAGAGCTCGAACAATAAATAGAGCTCCTCAGCTGAATTCTGTGAAGGATCCAATCAAATGCGGAAGAATCTTTAGTAACTGTTTGGTGGACTTCTAAAATGGCTCATTACCTTTATCATCCATTTTTGCCACAAAACACCCATTTGTCTAATACATTAAGGAATAATATTGCAAAGCTATTTTTTGGCTGAATTGCTGAAATGAATATGAAGACAACGTTAGCCTTCATTTTATTAAATTGCATTTCCTTCCATTAAATATAACTTACAATTTATGTAGATAATTACACATCCTATAATGCAGTTCAGTCATTTCAACACATTTAACCACTTCAGCTGACAGAGGAACTCGCCAAATGATTAGTTGAAGAATACCACAAAAAAAGAATGATACCTGATAAAATGCAACTATTTCAGTAGTCTCCATGTTATAAACAGCAAAAAACGCAGGATGGTTATCAGCATTTCGGGAAATCTGCAGCACAAGTTTTCAAACATTGATAGTTGAATAGTGAACAATTCCATCATGGAGATAAGCACATTGAACAGAAACTGAAAGTAGAGAGGCCACATCTTAAGCCATTGCAATGTATGGCTTCAAATAAGAAACTAAGAATATTCCGTGAGTATTTTTTTAAAGAAGCAAAATCTGCAGGTCTTAGGATTCAAAGGGAAATACCTTCCTAACAAGGGAGTCATAATGCCCGGACAAATGTGGAAAAGAATAAATATGAGTGCACAGTGTGCGAAGAGCAAATAAATCTCACCCCAACATCGACACTGCCAAACTTGATTAGTAAGTGATATCTGTCCAAAAACTGCACCTATATACAGAGAATCCAATAAAGGATGTTAATAAGGCATGGAAATGAATTAGTTAGGAGTGGACACCAATTACAAAGTAGGCGCCACAATATTCCAGGAGATATCTCATATCTAGTGAAGGACACCAAAATCTACAATGCACAGTAGATTTTGAGGAATACCTTCCAAATTATTAAATCAACATAATCTTGAAAATGGAGGTAGAACTTCTTCTTAAGGCTCTGCATTCTCTGATATAGAAAGATTAAGTATCATCAAGAAAACGAATCACTGAAGTTTAACTTGGTATTTTGCAGTAATTAATTCCCACAGTTATTACTTAGAAAAACTGGGGGTATTAAAAAAAGATCTTCAATCAGGAAATATATATGTTGCTGCTCAGTTCTTGAGGAAAAAAAGTGAACAGTTGATGTCAAATACCCCCTAAGTTTTTCCTTATTCTTTTTTTTTGTTAGATCATCATTGACTATTACATCCTTGAAGAATCACACGCATAAACAAGGACTGCATTTCAGCAGTGCACCAAACATATAACAACAACAACTACTACTACTACTACTACGACTTCAACTACAACGCAGCCTTACCTCTATAAAAGAAGAAATGAATGCAATAAATGGACTCAACCAATGTTCCATCCCAGACTACACAGAAAGTTCGAAAGATGAATCATCATATTTATAGGAAGTGAGGTCTTGTATTAAACACATTAGATTGTTGATTGTTCGATGTGTTCCAACATCAGGGTGGTGGACTGGTGATATGTTCCAACATTACAATGACTTATTATCCAGTTTCCAAACTCACACTGTCATACAGTACAATAGACATTAAAGATCTAGCATCAAGTTCAAATATAGTGAGCGGATTATCCAGTAGATTGTTCCATGTGTTCCATAGTTAAACAGTGCAAATGTATTAAAGATCTCATATCAAGACCAAAAAATGGGAATTTTCTTACAGGATCAAAAAAATGTGAGGAAGAAGTGAAGAAGGCCAAACTTCATGTATGTAACCTGAATAACGCATTATCATAACTTACCATGGTTGGATCTGATTCTTCATTCCAAATCCCTCTAAATATGAAAGATAGCAACCTTTGTTTAAGGACGCCCATGAAAGAAGTTTCTGGGATAGGCTCGCGGTGATTAAAGCCCCCTCCACTATGATTCACAATAACCTGTAGAAACTTAATTCCTTTAGATATTGGAATGCAAGTTTAAACCTTATGTGTTCCAGTCTCAAGCCAACACATGAAAGAATTTATATAATCTAGCAAACAGGATAACAGCAAAAGTACCAAAAGTAGCAAATAAAAAAACTTTGTAGTTTGTAATGAATATCAATAAAGTCTTACCACTTAAATAAACTCAAGAGGCACATTTAATAACTTTTCGATTGAGTGAAGAATTGAATTTTATAAATGTCAGGCACGATATCCAATTGGACTTACTACAATGCAAAGGAAATCCAAGGGAATGAGAAATCGAGAGCCTAGATTGCAAGTTTGTAAAGAATAAATATTTTGCATGCTAAAGCTTACCAAAAAAGCATCCATTTTGCCAAATTATTATGCATTGTCATTCAAAATATACATAAAACATATAATGCAATAGTAATGATTAAGTATGTTGTGGCCTTTGAAATCTTAAACCTAAATTCTTTTTCCGTATTTTTATCCTTTTGTGGGGTCTCATGATACTTTCCATGGGAGTGGAAACAACATATTTTGATAACACTTATGGAATTTTAGCACATTATCTCTTCTTTAGAATGTCATGATGAGAAAGGCATCTGGTGTAAAAATGTGGTACATTGTGCATGCACTTATAGTGCAAACTAAATCTAGACAATTAATTGGCATTATAAATTTCGTGCCAACAACCTAGAAGTTGTTGGGATTTAGGCAGGAATAATGGAGATAATGAAACTTGGGTGAATGGCTATCCAGCATTTCTTAGAAGCTATTAAAATCAGAAAAACTACCATTTTTACTAAATATATAATTGTATGCTTGTCCAGTAAATCAAGGAAAATAACCAGAAAGGTTGAGCTGGGAGTGTTCTTGCCTGGGAGGAATTGAGAAACAGTTCATCGTCTTCATGGCAAAATTCTCCAATGCATCTAACATCTACCAGGTCTCCAGAATCTCTTACCTGAAGGATGTGTATTCTTTGATAGCGGAGGGACAATACAGCCAGCAAATTATCATACATGTGAACACCCATGCTATGTGCAAGATTAATACAATCGTGGGAGAAAACCCTCTCATCAAGTATAGCTCCATCGTCCAGTCTAATAAGGATTAGGAAGGTATGATATAAGAAAGTTAATGAACCGGACAACATCTAATGAAAAAAGACCATGGAGCTGAAAATCATGCACCTCAAAAGGTGAAAAGTGATTTTTTCGAATGAAGGGATCCCGTAGAGGGCTCCGCCAATAGTGGGTGCATCTTGAACTTGAGAAGTGACAGTTGAAGTTGCAAAGAGGCCAAATCGGTTATTCGCTAGATAGAGGAAAAACTCTTTGCATACAACCTCACCACTAGAAGCAAGTGAAACACTGTATTGCTGGGTAAAGAAGCTCTCAAACTTTTTGGTTTTCTCCGGAAGCTCGTGGGCATCACAGTCTACTTGACTACATGAAAATGACAACCATTTTGGCCTATAAACGATCAGATCTTTGAGATCTCTGCTGAAGGTGATGAGATACAGACCATCCTCAGTGAACTTGCAAAAAGAGTGGTCCGGGCACTCAACATCAAACACGGTATCACTTGGAACAATGTTTTCGTAAAATAGCCTGGCTCGATGAATCTGCAAGTACCAACTTAAATTTTTTCAAACGCCTATGGAAACTATTGAAGAAAACTCATTTGCTTATTTTCCAGATGAAATTGAGATCATAAACACCAATAAGGAGCCTAGACAGCCATTAAGCTCTCACCATACACGCGATTAAGCAACTACGAGCAGAAGAAGAGTCTTACACTAGTTCCCGGAGCAGGAGTGGAAATCTGGCGCTCAAAAATCCTGGAAGTGACATTGTTGCTTCTAAACATCCGCCCTGGTAGCGACGAAGAACTCACAGAGAGGCAACTGCTCCAGAAGCCTCAGGAGCTATAAAAAATGTCAATTTTCGCATAACATTCACCAAAATGGACTGGATTTATGCAAAATTAGTTAGATTACAATGAAAATCAATGCGTAAAGACAGTAAATTAGCGGGAAGTTCAAATTTGAAGCAGGTCTTGTAGAATTTTTCTCAACATTCCAGCTAAGAGATGCAGAAGTATCAAATGTCAAAAATAAAGTCGATGGATCCAAGCAGGGATAAAGTAGTGGTTGGGAAGCTTCGGTGCTGGGGAAGAGCTCTAGGGCTTGAAGTCAATGCTCCATGAAAACTTGTTTACTTGGTCGTTTTTTTTTTCTTTTTAAATTATAAAAAGAAAGTATTAAATGGGTCTAATGTTTGCAATTTCCTTTCTTCCAGATTAATAATTCACATTTTTTATTGAGGTATAATAGTCCATATTTAGTTCAACATGAATTATAAAAAAATAAAATTATGCAAAAACAAAATAAAATATAAACTACAAAAACTTATCAAGAGTAAAAGAGATTAATTTTATGAGACATACTCATGATCTCCAATCACGTGTTCAAGAGAGATGTCCCAATTACTTGTGAGTTTGAGTTAAATATTAAATGATGATAGAGATTAAGATATGCTCGCTTGGGCATGATGCTCATAAGAATAAAAATTTAATGCCAATAATTAAATGACACGTGGCTAATATTTGTTTTAGTCTTATAATCTAATTATATACAAAGCTATGATGAATTTGTGAATAGTGTTTTCGTCTAAATGTATGGGCTATCTTCTTTGAGTTTAGACTGGTAAATTGGGCCTAAATAATAGGTAGTGTTCTATTATGTATTCGTGTGTATAGTAATTATATTTTATAGATATTCGAGAAAAAAATAAAAGTTGGTGTGTAGCTTCATACAAACTTTATGTTAAATCAAATTAAATAATAAATTCACAAAATTCAATGATTTAAGAGAAAAAAGTTGATGCGTGGCTTCATGCATACTTTATGTCAAATCAAATTAAATAAATAGATTCACAAAATCCAAGCATTTAATAGGTATGTTGATTGTCCAAATATATATATATATATAGTACTTATACCCTCAAACATTTCATAACAATATCATCCCTAATAATTTGCTCTTCCTTCAAAAAATTTCAAAAACATTTAAAGGGTATGACTAATGTCCTTGTCGAGTTTAATAATAGTCGCGCCACTTGCATCCTCATGTTACGATCCGTTCGTGCAGTGTCTACTTTGTTCCGACTTTGGCAAAAGGAGGAGTTTCAATGAAAGTGATCTTTTTTGATGAACATGTATAGTATTCACAATTTTTTCATTTCTTTATTTATTCTAATGCATTCCATAATGTTGGATTATCTACTTTGTGTGCACGGAATGATGATTGACGCTCATCTCAATAACCCCAAAAAACGTTTTGAAACTCAAATAGTAGAAGATAGTGTTTTCGGATTCGAAATATCTTTGTTCATGATAAGTATTTTTAATTAACTTCCTCTCCTTTAAACAAATTTTTGTGATCAACTACTCGGGTATTTTATTTGTTAAGGTTTGGGATTCAATTTTATTAAATGATATGCTTCCCTGATGTATTCGTATTACTTATATTTATCTGCTCTCTTTGTTTGAATGTATTTTCTTTTTTATAAAATTATTTTCTTGGATGAAATTGGTTATAATCTAAATTTTGTTAAATATTTTGCCCGTGCATAGCACATGTATGAATCTAGTTAAATGACAAATAGAATATAACTTCACTTTGCATCTAAAAGAGATGCTCCCATGGAAGAAAATAGATGCTAAAAGAGATACTCCCCCTGTCCTCAATTTGATTACAAATTGTGGGTTACGAAGTAAAATTTCCTATTTTTTGAAATCATTTTATTTACAAATTGGTATATCAATAAGATATAAAAATTACATATTAAAAAATTACGTCAAAAGTTCTACAAAACAAGAGGTGACAAGAATATTTTATTTTATCAAATAATTAATGAAATTGCGTAAACAAACAAAAGTTATCGAGAGGAGAGAGAAAAAAATTGTAATCTATTTAGAGACGGATAGAGTATTTATTTTATTTATGTAAGATCACTCTTGGACATATTTATGTAGATGCTACCACTTTGGATACCTTTAACAAATTAGGTTTTTTAGATTTTTCAAAGTAAAAGGATTCAAATCACTCACAAACCAAATGGGAGATTTTGGCTCTTAACGGGATATATATTCGGCGATTATTTTTTAAATTAATTATAGTAAATTAATCTTCAAATTGAGATGAGTGTTTTGAAACTTTTGATATACTTTGCACCAAAAATGGTTCTCGATTAAATGAGAAATTAATTCGTAAAGTCGAACATTTGGAAGGAGTAAGAACTCATAGATCCCACATTGGATTTGAGACTTTTCATCTTCCACTATTTATATGCTAACATTGAATTGCATTGTAAAACAATTTGAGAAGGAAAGAAATGATCCTTTGCACACCATCCCCACTGTTTAGCTAGACATGACACGCGTGCGAACACGTGGTTACGTGTGCATGCGTTAACCATTGGGAGTGTGATTTAATTTCTTTTATATTTTCTTTGAGTAATTTGTTTTAGATTTCAAACAAAGTGTTAGTGGCTCAGATTTTAAAATACATATCATATTCTCATCCACACATCCACTCATCCATCCCAAAATTTATTAAACTGGCTTCAAGATTTTATTCCATACTTCTGGTATTTATTTTTAAAAAAATTGCTATTGAGTATTTCCAATTTTGTTGTAAGAACTACTGGATCTTATTGCTTTTCAAAATAACTTTGAGATACTTTAAAAATATTCGAACACTCACTCTCACTTTGAGGGGACTTTCGTCCATCCTTCCGTTTTCCCTACTTGCTCCATAATTTTTTATCTTCTTATACTAAAAAATTGTGGTTAGATACTCCTAATTTTTTAACAAAAAGTTTGAGTTATATCATTTTTTAAAATATACTTTGAGGTACTTTAAAATATTCAGAAACTCAATCTAGGGAGACTTTCCGTCAAACTTTCCGTCATACTCACTTGCTGCGTCAGATTTGGCTCTAAAGGTTATTTGGCTATAAAATATACTTCATCTTCATTATCTCCATTTTTTGAAAGAAGAAGATGAAAAGAGAATGGAGCAGGTGGTATGAAAGATGGATGAATGGAAAGTCTCTTCAAAGTGAATTTTTAAATATTTTAAAGTACTATAGAGTATATTTTCAAAAGTATTGAGATTTGGAAATTTTTATAGAGTTATATGCACAAATAGTTCGTGTGGTCTTTCGTAAGTAAGTAGATAGTCACTGTACTTTTAAAAGTTACAAAATAGTCAATGTAGTAAAAGAAATGATGCATTAATTAGTCTCTTTTTTAAGGGAATGTAAAACACGCAGAACATAACATACTGTGTGAAAATGTGAGACATGTAACAAAGAAAATAACTTATATAATCTCGTGAAGTTGCCCTTGTCTTCGTGGTTAAAAGTAAGGAATAGTCTTTTTTAGTTTCCTTTCATCGTTATATGATTGACATCTTTACATAATATACTCGAGTTGTATACTTGTATATATTTTCCACATTTTAATATACTCCCTCCGTCCATGAGTGTTTGTCCACTTTCATTTTTGCACACCATCCAATGCACTTTTTTAATCCATTTTATCTTGTAATATGTATATTAAAAAATTATATATTAATAATCTATATGTTAAGACGAATCAAACAAGATCACACATGACTATTTTTAGGCTTACACATTGAGAGAATTTGATGAGTCAAAGTGCTTAGATGAACAGTTCCAAAAGTCAAAACTGGACAAATACTCAGGAACGGACCAAGTAAGTACTAATTATGTTGTGATTGTTTGACCACATAGACTATTTGACAACTTTTAAACGTTCGAGAACTATTTATCTACTTATAAAATATCACAAAGACTATACATGCATATATATTTTTTGAGAAATACTTGGTTCAGAAACAAAATGATCATAAATCTTACAAACTTACTATTTTTGAGCTTCAATAAAAAATAAAATAGTCTAAAATAATTTTAAAATAAAAATTTAAATAATAAATAATAAACTTATAAATTTTGTAACTATTTTATTTGTGAATCTAGCATTATTCTAACATTTTACTACAAACAATGAAACAAGAGTTTGGTACGAGTAGCAACTTTTTGATTTATTTTAGTAAAAGTGTTACTCCGTAAATCCAATTCTGAGAATTACAGTAACCAATTAAAAATTCAAAGGAGCCCTTAATAGTATGAAGATCCAGGTTCTGGCGTCACGGTTCCTTCCCTCTCGCTAGTCGCCATCTCCCAGTTGGCGCATTACATGGCGTGTGTGATTCCACTCGACGACGGCGACACCGCCAACTGCTGAATCCGCATCAGGTGGAAGAGATCGAGTTCCCGGCGGGATTCGTGGCTGGTCTCCTCCTTCAATGCCCGTCAGATTTGGCTCTGAAGGTTATTTCAAGGTGTTCAGGGGAGGAACGGCGATACGGTGGTTGAAACGAGTGCGAGTAGGAGGAGGATATGAAGAGCGGTGGTGGAGGAGGCGCCGGTCAGCCTTACTCTGTTCCGCCCGGGAAGAGGCGGTGGAATTTTCTGGTGATTGCTGTTCTCTGTCTCGTGTTCCTTTCCATGCTCGTGCCTCTCATCTTTTTGCTCGGATTACACAATGGCTTCCACACTTCCCCTGGCAAGTTTTTTCCTCCATCCTTCTTCTAGATCTGCAGTTTTTTTTGTCATTGAAATCCGATTTCATTTGGGTCCCGACCAAATCCATTTTGGCCGTAAATTGTTTCTTATGACGTTTCCGAAGTGTTTAGTTTCTTTTGGTTTGACCGGTGTAAGGTGAAGCACTTTTATAAACATGAATGAAGCGGGGGGAAACGCTGATTGCACTATGTCCAGCAGTTCCTTCCAGACACGATTGATGATTATCCACTCTAATAATTTTAATAAATCACATTTCAATTTCTTCTCAATGGAAAAAGAGAAAGGAAATTAAAAAAAAGGAAGGATATTTTTATGCTTCCAGCTTAGGATTTGCTGTTGGAAATATCCCCTAACATGCTTGCTATTTGATTTGCAGGATATGTTACTGAAAAACAAAGTGCATTTACTGTGAGTAGTATTATGACATTTCTTAATGTATTATGACATTGTTCCATTTTTTCCTTCATATCTAGTTATTCATTCTTATACTACTTTTTATTTTCTGGAATTCCTGATC